CAGAGCTGTGCATGGCCAGGTGCTGTCAGCTGTGGAGAGTGAGGATCCAGGGCCACTTCTGGGTGTCAGCGACCGGGGAAACTGGGCTCCAGGGGCAGCTGCTGGGCAGACCAGGTGCCTGAGCCCAGCTGCTGGAAGGATCCACCTCTTAGATTTGCATTGGCCTATTTCCCGCCAACAGACCTTCGTCCTGGTCAGCCAGAGAGGGGAAGAGGATGAGGCTGTTGGTGCCGTTTGAGTGTGTGCTGAGTGTGTCTGTGCTGATCCGTGTGGCCAGACATGTATGGATGTATTTACGTAGGTACATATGTGTTGTAGGTGGGCGTTTGTATGTGTGCCTGCTGGGAATGCACACTCAGCTTCACTGCTGGTTGGACCTGGGGTCATGGAGCCGTGGGAGCTTCACCTCTCTCAGGCTGCTGAGATACCTAAGAGTTCCAAGTCTGTTATGCTCATACTGCACCATACACCTGTGGACATTTAGGAAGAAACTGAGTCCCTCATATCTGTAACATTTCTGCTGCAATGGCTTCAGTGCAGTGTCTACAGCTTGACCCTCAGGGCAGTTGTTGCTAGAATTACCAACTACTGGGTGAAATAAGGTTGCACATGCTTTATTCTTGTTAGTTTCTTGTTTGCTCCATCTGATACGCTGTTGTTAATTTTCACCTGCTGTGGCAGACAGAAGTCTCTCTCCCTCCAAAACCTGACCAGGGAAACTCAGTCTTCCTCTGCTCTGCCAAGTCTTCAGCACTAAAAAGCAATCCCTGATCAGCAAGCTGCATCAAACCTCATTGCCTCAAGGCTAAGTGCTTTTAGAGAGCTCCAACTGTGTGTACATCATGCAACATTTGGAGAGACCCCCCATTTCCTACCTGTCTCGTGGGCCTTCACGCCTGTTCACCTGGATGTTTCTCAAATGCCAAACACGTGTTCTGCTCCCAGCACTTCTGTCCCATGCACAGTATGGCAAAAAATGAAGTCCCCTCTGGGTAGGACAGTTCATTCCCCCTGTCCCCCTGTCATCCTCCCCCCAGGAAAAAAAACCAAACAAACAAAACAAACCAAAAATATCCACCAAAAAAACACTTCCAACCCCCCCCCCCCCCCAAAATGTGAAGCTCCTAAAAGGTGGAATTTAAAAATTC